TCGAATTTTTAAATTTACAAATTCTAAAATTTCTTAAACTTCTGAAAGTTCTCAAACTCAGATTTCTCAAATTTAACAATCACAATTATTTTATCTTCTAATTTAAACTTTCCACTTGATACCCACGTAATTAACATGCCTCGAATTATTCCTAAACATTTTCTTTTATTTCTTTCAGTTACTAATGCGAATCTTTGAGATGCCGGTTGTCAGTGATCTCTGCGGTATTCAACGTGTTAATCCATGGATAGACGTTGTTGAATGAAAGCATGTATGTTTTTGGAAAATAGTCGCACAGAAAGGTCGAAACGGACTTAGGCACTCATCCCCATTTCAAAAAAGAAACTTCGATCTGTCGACGTGAATTTAGAGCCACCACCGACGGACTAACAAAGTTTCAAAGGTTAGCGTGAACTACTTAAGAAGAGGTACATGCACTAGGCAGCGCATATTCTTGGATCAGCTCTGTCGTCCCAGTCACAGACCTGATCGCATTCTCTTGTTAATTTCGCCGTTAATTCCGGTCACGAGAGAAACACTTTCTCATCAGAGAAATAATTTTGTTTTCTCTGCCATGATTCAATTTGTAAATCGCGCACTGCGTTTCAGTATCCGTTAATCGCACTCCGCTACAAACTTCAATTTGACATCTTCGACTATAAATATCTTTATAAGACAGGAATATAAAAGTGATAACAGCTTTCGTGTGAAATTTTTAAAAGGATCGATGAACGTTGAATGTAACAAATCAAATTTTATTACATTCCAAATATTTCATGAAGTGAGTGGACTTTTAAACAAATCGATTTTTCTTTTATAATTGGACAAAATATAAGAATTTTCAGTAGTCTTTGAAATGATGTATTGTAATAATTTTATTAAAAATTTACTTAAAATAATTTTGTTAAAAAAAGTTTTAATTATTGTAGGACAGTGGCAACGGTTGTATTGCGAAAGTTACGAAATTACGATTACGGTTACGACTTACGATTTACGACTCACGATTTACGGTTCACGATTTACGGTTTACGAATTACGGTTTTTTGAACTTTTGTACTTTTGTTTCTCGTGCGTGTGTGTATTATTGTAATTTTTCGTGTACTTTTCTTCACTGTTTTGTTGTGTTCTTTAATAAAGGCTTAGTTTGGAAAAATACTAATCCTACATTATTAAAACTGTAAATAAATATTTTTAAATGTAGGACGAAACAAGTTATGAGCTTCTAAATACTGTAGTTAAAAATCTTTTATTAGTAACTTTCTATTATCTGCACCGAATTCAAATAAACTGTAAAACAAATTAATAATTTTCGATTGTTATAATAAACCTTTCGTTCAAAAGCCTTAATAAGTGACGCTACACTCAAAAAAAGATATAAATAGTTTTGAATACAGTAACTATAAATTTAGCTTCGGCAGACACAAATAATACTCAAGGGTTAAAATAAGCCAGCGATGTTAAAATTAACTCGAGCTAAAATGAATTAAGTACTGATTGTCAGTTCAAGTCTTCAGAATTTGTCAATAAATCTTAAATTTTACGAGGACAAAAATTTATAACCCAGCATAATTTAAAAACTTCCTACACGTGATATAAGTGTCAGATTCCATTTTGATAACAACCAAAATCTTCGAACGTATTCACACATAATCGTTTATCCGAATTTAATTTCATAATTTCCATTCATGCCTATCCTATCTGACCTTTTTGCATTCAACGATTTCTGTGAAAACACTGCAAATAAAATCACGTGAATTTCGAAATTCGATAACACGCTTGTCCTTATCGCGGACACGTAGGCATGAGGTTCCCGAGATACGATTTAGAATGCATAATCGGGATGTTCGAGTATCGAATACTGGAGTGGAATCTCGAAATAAGGTCAACGTCACCGATGAAGGCACGTCGACGAACTGGGCCGTTCGAAACTGAATACCTTCGAGTACCAAGTAAGCTATCTAAGGGTTGGCTGGAATTAACATCGTGAACCAGCTACCTGAATCGAAGCACCATTCAAATCGAGAGAATTATTCCGAAGCACGGTAAAGAAGCAGACCGACTACAGATCTGAGGAAAATTTCATTGATTCTTCAACCTTTCTTCTAATTATGAATCTACATATATATTGTTTCCAGTAGATAAATTACAAGATAAAGGCACACGATTCCATCAATATCTTTAAATTCGCCACCCACGAGGAATTCTTTTAGGTAAAGTCTTTGATTTGTAGTGTTTCATTCAAAAATTGTAATATGTATTGATTACATATAACACAAAAGTTTATTACTAATTAATAGTTTTGTGACAGACAAAGTGATTCATCCTACTTTTTACTCGGTTAATAATTTTGAAGCAGTTACTTTAATATAAATGGTAATATATGAGTAAACTTTGTATTCTGTTTGTTAAATGAAACCATGATTTATTTTTTATTTTATTGTTTGTATAATTGATTATTTGGTTTAACCGAGTATTACTGCCTTACTCACAGTTTTCTACTATGTTTTGAAAATATTTTCTCTTGACCTAAATGCAATATAATCTTTTAAGTTTTGTGTTATTGGTATTTATTAACCGATTCGTGGTTTACTGTAAAATTAAACAGATCTTTTTCAGTATTTTTCATCGTAAACATTAAATAAACATTAAATAGTTTATGTTTTAGTTTATGTTGATAAAATATCAAAAAATAATAAAAAATCACTTTTTGAGCTATTAATATATTATAAGCGGTCGATAAAAACTCAATTTATATTATACATGTCAAATTATCACTGAATAGTTATTCAAAAGAAATATATAATACTTTAAATATTAGCAAGACGAAGTTATGTACATCATAATCAATTGATAAAAAGGAATAAAGAATGAACCGTTTAAATTAAAAAGTGGGAAAACTCTGCTCTCTTTAAAGAAATTTAATTTCTTATCTGTGTCAAGTCTTTGCGTTTCATTTAACTATGAAATATAACAAGTAGTGAATTTTTTTGAAAAGTGGAATTATCCCATTTTTACTATAAACTAAAAATATCTTATTTAAAAAAATGCTATTTTGAAGTCTTTTAAGTAACGCGATTCTATGTTTACACTTTTATTCTTAATAAGTAATATATTCTTCATCATTATCGGAATCTTGCTAACCTTGACAGAGAGGCTCTCCTTAAATAGTCACATCACAGAATTTTTTAGAATATCATGCATTCTTTTATTGCTTTCTCCGAAAAGATTTGCAAAATATTTCAGATAACCTGATATATTGAAAATATATTGCTTAAATGTTCAATGAGATATATGTGTCGGTGATTATAAAAATCGTCGAAATTCTAGAAAAATTGAACTTTTCATTTGTTTATTCAATATCGATCAATATTGCTTTTATTCAATATTACTTTTATTATAATATGAAAGAATCTTTTAAAAGTATTCATTGCCTGAATTCATAATAACGTTAATTATTACAGTTGTTACAATTATTCATAATGATTGAACAAAATTCAAGTTATATTATATTGATAATTGTGTAAATAGAAATTCAATTCTTTTAAAATTTTGACTTAGTTGACTTTTATAATTATTGGCACATATGTATATTCAAGTACATATATCTCAGTTGGTAGTATCTATACAGATACGGTATTGATATGTTATATATAATATACGATATAACAACTTTATTGCCCAAAATTTTATTTTTAATACTAAAAAGGCAACTACAGAACACCGCTTGAACTACAACTGAATTTACATTTAAAATTAACTGAAATAAAAGCAGATACGTGTAGAGAAACTGGTTTTCAAGTTCAGGTATCACATTAAATTAAATCAGTTTGTTCTCAGAATAATTATTCTATTAAAAATAGAAGAAAGACATCTTATGGTGATGTAATTAAGTGTTAAATCTCTATTAAGTTCTTGAATAGTTCATTATTCTCGTTGTCATTACAAGAATTCTTTCATTTTGGTGTTGGTAATATGTATTTATATAATGGCTGAGAACCAATGTATTAGAATCTCTAGTTAAAATATTAATTTCAGGAAAATACGAAGTATTTCGTTTGCAATGGCCAGAAAATATTTGGTACAATATAATAATCATTCACTTACGCCGGAAATTAAGCATGATCAATGAATTCGAAATAATTTGAAACAAATTTTCACTTCAAGTGATTTCTGTACATTTTTTAGTAGCTTCTTTTCACTTTTATCAGACTTTCTTAGTACAGAAAAAGCAGATAAACATTCCTAGATTTAAGGCATTCCGTACCAATGCAAGGGATTAAATCATTATTCGGATACTCATTCCTTTGCATTACTTTGTTTACTGCACTAAATAAAAAAAGATTCATAGTTCAGACAGAAGATTTTCACCACAAAATCGAATTTATTTTTCCCCAATAAGATATAAATACTAGATCCATCGAGTTAAGAAACAAAAATTCTTTGTCTATATTTGTCTATATCCCTACATTCCGAAATCGCTATTTCTATTTTCCTAAACGTACATCATTTTTATTAACAGAAAATTGTAACGTTAACAATACAAATTTTATTTGCACTTTATTCAAATTTTGGAGCGTGCCTTCAGATCGACTTACTCGCTCTAGTTGAAGTGAGTGTACGTATATTTTGACAAAAAACAGAATTTATAAAGGAATTAAGAAGAGCTGGAATTTTCTTGGTTACCCGGTACAAAGAAAGATGCATTGTGCGATGAAATTCTAGTTTCAAGAAACACAGTACCATTGATACTGTCGATTAATTCCGATTCCCTAACACGGTAATCAATTTCAGAAAATCGTTTTTCACTGAACAAGAAACTGCAATTAAGGAAAAATGATGTGCGAGTGCCATCGATCTTCGAAGAGGCGTTCACCATGGCATGCGGATGTACATATACGGATAAAACGATCGAATGAAAGCACGAGAGTTAACGTTTCTAGTTCCAATTACCGACATCGATAAATGATTGACGGTAAGGGTGATAGAAAATCGGTACTCACTGTAATCCGATGTGTCGTCGTTTGAGCCGTTTACCGTGCCGTCAGGCAGGATTTGCAAATGCCGATTCTTGATGTACATCTGGATCTTCCTAGAAGCGCCGGTGATGTGCGACAAATTGGCCGATCGTTCTGCCCTTACGCCAGCATCACCCATTAAATCAACTGGTGCGCCACTCACTGCACTGATAACCGTGCCAATCGCCAACACACTCAAACCGGTGGTACTCGATTTCACACTGCAGTTGAACACACTCGATTTACGGGGTCTGCACTGTCCGAACGCGAGGAGCAACAACAGCAGGGCTAACTGAAGGTACGTGGAACGGTTGTTACGACACTCGCGCCTCTTCTTTCTCGTTCTACCGTGGCCACTCCTCGAGGAAGACTCGTTGTCGTAGGAAGGAAAGTCGGTCTGCCGATCGGCCGTCAGTTCGACCTTGGTGACGCGCGACTCGCATCGCCAGGAATTCGTTGCGTCCACTTCCTTCCACGTTTCATCGGTCAAGGACGGAAGCGTGCTCGTCGTGGTGAGCTTCTCGTACGTCCGATCCGATCTCGAAGAGTCGCTCGATTGACTAGAGAACCGCGATTTCCCTATTTGTACGTGGTCCGCGACACAAAACTCCGTCCAGTTTCCAGTTGCCGATAAGTCGCGTTTCGAACACCAGCCTTGCACTCCGTGGCAATCGTGTGTTTTCTCGTTTTGAAATCTATAAAGGAATTAAGAAGAGCTGGAATTTTCTTGGTTACCCGGTACAAAGAAAGATGCATTGTGCGATGAAATTCTAGTTTCAAGAAACACAGTACCATTGATACTGTCGATTAATTCCGATTCCCTAACACGGTAATCAATTTCAGAAAATCGTTTTTCACTGAACAAGAAACTGCAATTAAGGAAAAATGATGTGCGAGTGCCATCGATCTTCGAAGAGGCGTTCACCATGGCATGCGGATGTACATATACGGATAAAACGATCGAATGAAAGCACGAGAGTTAACGTTTCTAGTTCCAATTACCGACATCGATAAATGATTGACGGTAAGGGTGATAGAAAATCGGTACTCACTGTAATCCGATGTGTCGTCGTTTGAGCCGTTTACCGTGCCGTCAGGCAGGATTTGCAAATGCCGATTCTTGATGTACATCTGGATCTTCCTAGAAGCGCCGGTGATGTGCGACAAATTGGCCGATCGTTCTGCCCTTACGCCAGCATCACCCATTAAATCAACTGGTGCGCCACTCACTGCACTGATAACCGTGCCAATCGCCAACACACTCAAACCGGTGGTACTCGATTTCACACTGCAGTTGAACACACTCGATTTACGGGGTCTGCACTGTCCGAACGCGAGGAGCAACAACAGCAGGGCTAACTGAAGGTACGTGGAACGGTTGTTACGACACTCGCGCCTCTTCTTTCTCGTTCTACCGTGGCCACTCCTCGAGGAAGACTCGTTGTCGTAGGAAGGAAAGTCGGTCTGCCGATCGGCCGTCAGTTCGACCTTGGTGACGCGCGACTCGCATCGCCAGGAATTCGTTGCGTCCACTTCCTTCCACGTTTCATCGGTCAAGGACGGAAGCGTGCTCGTCGTGGTGAGCTTCTCGTACGTCCGATCCGATCTCGAAGAGTCGCTCGATTGACTAGAGAACCGCGATTTCCCTATTTGTACGTGGTCCGCGACACAAAACTCCGTCCAGTTTCCAGTTGCCGATAAGTCGCGTTTCGAACACCAGCCTTGCACTCCGTGGCAATCGTGTGTTTTCTCGTTTTGAAATCTACGGCTGATGGCCTCATGCTCCAACGAACACTCGTCCCGTCTCGATCGCGTCTGCCTTATCGTCTCGTTTTCGTCGAACTGGTCGATGGTGTCGCGAAGTCGCGATTCCGGTTGTTCCGGACCAGAAACATCCTGAGGCTGGCAATCCTTTCGATCAGCCGTCCGTGAGGAAGCATCGATAGCCTCCGTAGGAACGTTGAACGCGATGCGTGGCTCGCTTCGACGGAATTCTCTCAATACAGAACGCGCGGATGCGCCTCCGGTACGACGAGAAGAGAAACCGGACCAACGACGGGACTTGAGGCTCGTGTCATCGAGCGATTCGTTGTCGTCGATCCGTGGAAGTCGTCGCACGATACTCGTTCGAACAACTCTATTTTCGCGGCGCAAGGAAGCTGAGGTGGATGTCGAGGTTAGGATCGGTATCGGGCAGACGGCACGGTAATCACAGTGCAGCACCGTTGGCCCGCCCGTGTCGATCTCAGCGGGCATGACGGTCTCATCCACACTCCTTTCCGAGCCCTCCTTCTTATCTACACGCCACGCTTCTCTCTTTGCTTTTATCGTTATATCTTTCTGTTCACTTTCTCTTTTGCTCTTCTTTCTTCTCGCTGATCGTGTACGTCTTACTGCCGTCTTCTTCTCCTCTTATACTCCCTCTTGCGTCGGTGCTCGTTGCCGTTTCCAGCTGTCGAATAATCAGAGCCACGGTACACGTATCGATTGGTCGTCCAGGTAATCACACGAATGGTAACGATACAGTTTCACGATGGAGGTCCACCTCATCCTCGGTTACTTTCGCCTCGAACACAGGAGGCTCTGTTGAAAAATTCTTGTCGAATAGTGAGGATGCAGCAGTTGGTCCGCTGTTACCGTCCATGTACCCCGTTTTCGGTATTCTCGCATTATTGCGGACCGCCGTGGCAGCGGTTCCTCCCTCGGCTAATCCGATCGATTGACTGTCAATCGACGACGATGTTTCGTCAACGCAAACCAGATCTCGCCAGTCAGAACGGCTTGTTCGCGAAGATGGGAAACCACGGAATAGGTTTACGAGGTAGCATCGAGGCGACGTGAGATGGATTCTGAATACAAACGAGCGACTGGATCGTCGTGGCTTCCTGCAGCCGATATCGCCGAGGGTACTCGTTACACTGCGAATGATCCTGGGTGAAGATCGCTGTTTGGAGGCGATTACCGAACGTAGAGCCAACGACAGCGAATTAGCGACAGAAGAGACGAAAGGATCGTTGGCTTGCTCGTCTTTAATCGGTTCTGTCGAGGCACGCAGCTTGATGCTACCGATTACCTTCGTCGACCTCGCTCTGTCCCTCTCCTCTTAGTCCCTCTATCAATCGCAAGAACCTCCACCGACACGTTACTCGTACCGCCTTAACGGGTTCCTCTCTCTCTTTCTTTCTCCCTCTCTTCCAGCAACACCACCTCCTCCTCCACCTCTTTCCGTTCTGTCCTTGTCTATATCACTGTTACTCTTTCACCGACTGCCCTTGCCTCCGCCGTTGACCATTCGTGGGAGAGCGTATCCTTCCGGAGTCGCGAAGGGTCGTGAATCACGCGCGAAAGTTCTTTCGCGAAATATTCGCGGGGAAACACTGCCACCACTTCTCACCCACTGATCGCTGAAGCTGACTCGGGACGATTAACGCACGCGAGAACACGGTCAGTGTGTTCCACCGACGCGTTCGTCACCGGTCAGAGAACACCTGACTAACTTCTTCGAAGATGCTTCTTCCGACGCACGTACCGTGATACGTAACGGAGAGAGAAAGAGAGAGAGAGAAAGGAAAACAGCTAATGACCTCCGTGTGACACTCGACCGGTAACAGCGTGGTATCAACCGGCCAAACCGAACTGACGAATATACGAACGGACGAATGAACGCACGCATGCACGCAAGCATGCACGCACGCACGCACGATACACGCACGAGGTGATGTTGCACACGAGCGTAATCCCTCGTGTTGACGACGATCATTCGTCGAGCAGGACCGATTTTCCCCACCGATCGACTTCGAGATCCAACGTGTCGACGTCGACGAGGAAACGATGTCACGGCAAAGTAGCTGGCAGATTCCGCGAACGGTCAACGATCCTATCTTACGACGTGGTCGATTCTTCGAAACGAATGATCCAACGTCTCGCGATCGTGGCGTATGTCGGTATTATTAGGAGGTCGGGGGTAGTCCGGCAAGTCCGGGGTTATCTGGCAGGTCGGATGGTGCCGGTGCGGCGTCCGAGAAACTACTGAACGAGTGCCGCGGTTCTCTTCTCCGGCTCGGTTCGGGCACGCTCCTCGGTTCGCTCTCGTAGAGAGATCGACACACCAGCACACGGGCCGGCAGCAGCCGAGAGTGAAACCAATACCAGCGCGCGGTGATCGACTCGACTCGCTACTCACACGGGTCCGCAGCATCCATCCCATCCCGTCGTCGTAGTTGTAGTAGTAGCCCGTCGTCCCGTTTCGTCCCGTTTCGTCTCGTCTCGTCCCGTTCCGCTTCGTACCGTGTCGTCCCGATTCCGTCCCATCCCAGAGCGACGCAGCACGCGACAGATCTGGATGCTCGCTCGCTCTCGTCCACTACCTCGCCACCACGACCACCACGCGCCTCTTCTTCTCCCTCTCTTCTTCTCAAGCTACTCCCCTTCCCCCCTTCTACCTTCCCTTATCTCTCTCCTTCTCCCTTACTTCCCTTCCCTCTCTTCCTTTCTTTCTCTCTCCACCGCGTTTCCTCCTTCCCTTTTCTTCGCTCCTCTTTCGCGCTCTCTTTCTCTACCTGTCTACCTGTCCCGCTCCTTTCCACGGCCTTTTTCACCTTCTTTCCCTGAATCTCTTCGTTCTTCTCTCTGGTTGTCCGCCGTTTCCTCGTAACACCTTTTCTCTTTCACCCTTCTGCAGTACGCTTCCCTTGCACTGCTCGTGCTCGTTAAACGCTCATCGAGTTCCGCCGCTTTTCGGACTGCGTCTGTTATTTCACCCCTGTGTCGAGAAGGGCAGCGCGGCGGGCTAAAGAAGAAGGTAGCCCCCGTTAACGAGGCCGCGAAGGACGCACGCGAGCACCTGCAAACCTGGCAAGATAAATCGCTCGGAAATCGCCTGTTGCACACGCGTCCGTGTCACGATCCTTTTGCTTCGTCTTCCTCGTGTCGCCTGCCTTCGACTTTTCTTCCTCTTCTTTTTATTCGCGTACACTCAATTCCGTTTCTGATCTTCAGCTGTCCCGTTTCAGCTTCTTCGGTTCTTGCGTTGTGTCTTGGCTAGCTTGTATTTCCTCCTCCCTCGTTCTTCGTTCCGTGTTGTTTCTCTGTTTTGTTAACGGGACGACTCGTGTCTGGCTACTTTTCTTCACGATTGCACGACTAGTCGACGATCGGCCGCAACACGCATGAGTTCTCGTTTTCTTCGGTTCCTCCGTTTCCTTTTCATGCTTCCTTAGACACCAGCGAAAGCTCTATCGAGGTCAGCTATGCGTACCTGTAAACAGTAACAAGGTCATCCCTTGAATATGAGCGATGAAACGCTGCCGTCTACCGGCCGTTTCCGCATTGTTATTATGGAAATATACGCGCAGAATTGCAGCTGGGCTTCTAAATATCTAAATAAGTACATACTGGGAAATGCGATGCTACGTTGGTCGGACCATTTTTGTTCGATTATACGGTTCAGGGGATTTCGTGGATGGAGAAGAAGAGAATTTTCTGGAACGAATCTTTCCGTCGTTATGTTCGTAATGAAGGAATGGGTTTCAATGCAATGATGTTTCTTTCGTTCGCTAACGATGTCATTCTATGTTAAGAAAATCATTTAATCCTGCTGTCCCTCTCACTTACGCTACGCTACGAAATGAAGAAACTATAACGTTTTGAAAGTATCTTCATGCAGATAATATTACTGAATATATTGTTATGACAAAACTCAGAAAATGTAAATTTTAGACATGAGAAATTGGAAAAATTATTTGTTTGAAAATTGAGGCCTTATTATTTACTTTCATTGCAAATAAAATGAAATAATCCTGAATAACGAATCATCTTTTATTCTAATAAATTTAAAATAATAACTTATTCAATTACTAATACGATATTTTCAAATAGCAAATAAATGTTAAGTGAAAATGGCGAACAAAATAAAATTATTTGTTATTTGTAAATTTATTTCTGCTATATCATTTATTATTCTCTGTATACATTTAAAAAGGTATTCGTATAAAATATGTTTTATTTTTTGTGAACGTCTTCGTTTTGCAAGATTTATTTAAGCATTATCTAAATACAAACCACTTATTTATTTGTAAATATTATATTTCAACATGAACATAACGCAATATTAGAAAATAAGTTTGTAATTAATTATACTGTATATAAAATATACTATACATATAATCAGAATGAATATACTGTACGCGAATCTCACATAATTATTGATGATATTCAGGGTATGTTATATTTTTCCAAACTTTTAAAATTATAAAAAATTAAATTATCTATATATGGATTTCTAAAATTTAATTTCCCTTATTTTTTATATTTCGTAATATTTCAGTTCATTATTTTGCATATTTTTTGTTTTGACGCTCTCATTATGCTAGAAAGTAAAATATAACAAAGTATTTGCATCTCGATATTCACCTTCCTCGTCATCTTTAGATTCGCCCTTGAAAATGTAACAAGATAATCGTGTAAATATCTGTTATCTCGAATCATATCGCAGATCGTATTATTCTGATAATATAGCACAGAATGAGTGTTTAGATAATTGACACCGTACTATACAAACATACATATGTACTGAAGCAAAAGAATCAATAATGACACGCTAATCTCACCGAGAGAATACAGCAATCACATTCATGACTACATGAACAATCAGACTGAACGTAACTCGAGATAAACTCTTGCATCACGCGAACGATTGTAACCTTTTATCGTTCTCAGATATTTAGACGAATACCAGACAGAAAATTATATATTTTAGCACGATATCGCCGTTTCTATTACATATTCACGAGTCAAGAATTATACATCAAATGGATAACAATTATCCTACTGACAAGTACCAACAAAAAATATGAAGGTTCATTTATACACGCAAGAACAGAGCTTAGGGTAACTGTAAATGCGACTTCGTTTTTTAGGAAACGAGAAATTGATCAGTGTCATAGATATGCGTACTTACATTAATTATATCACGTGCACACGCGAGCATGAATAATGCGTGTGAACGCAAGGAATAATTCCAAACAGGGAATTATATGGCTAGGAATTTCATAAAGTAGGAATATACAATTTCGCTATCTTAACGTTTCAAGTGCCACATACTTTTTTGAGCAGGTATTCAATGATAATTTTAATCGCATTATATACTTTATTGTTTTTATTTAATAAAAAATAAAAAAGTACAAAGAGTACCTAAACAAATATGAAATCTTAACATTAGGTATGATACTTTAACGAAAAATAAACAGAAAATACTA